GTCAATCAGAGAAAGACAATTATCATATGATCTCACTGATATGTGGAATTTAAGAAACAAGGCAGGGGATCATAGGGGGAGAGAGGAAAAAAATGAAACAAGATGAAACCAGAGAGGGAGACAAACCATAAGAGACTCTTAATCATAGGAAACAAACTGAGGTTTGCTGGAGGGGAGAGGGGTGGAGGGATGGGGTACTGGATAATGGACACTGGGGAAGGTATGTGTTATAATGAGCACTGGGTATTACATAAGACGGATGAATCACAGACCTGTACCCTTGAAACAAATAATACATTATATGTTAATTAATTGAATTTAAATGAAAAAAAATACTGCCTCAGTTTTTGCTAACTTTTAAAAGCCCTCTAGTTTTTTTTTTTTAATGATTCTCTTTTTAAAAAAATTCCAGTGTAGTTCACATACAGTGTTGTATTAGTTTCAGGTGTACAATATAGCAATTCACCAATTCTCTACATTACTCAGTGCTCATCATGATAAGTGTACTCTTAATCCCCATCACCCGTTTTACCCATCCTCCCACCCACCTCCCCTCTGATAACTCTCTGTTTTCCTCTAAAGTTGAATCTGGTTTTTTTTTTTCCTTTCCTCATTTGTTTCTTAAATTACACATATGAGTGAAATCATATGGTAACTGTCTCTGACTTATTTCACTTAACACCCTATAAATTCATTCATGTTGTTGCAAATGGCAAGATCTTATTCTTTTTTTATGGCTGAGTAATATTCCATTGTGTGTGTATACCACATCTTTTTTTATCCCTTCATCTATCAGTGGACACTTAGGTTGCTCCCAAAATTTAAAAAGCCCTCTAGGTTTAAAGCATTCCTGATTTTAAGGGGACATACGTATAGAAAGCACTTAGTGAACCCTTCTACCTCTTTTCTATATTTTTATTGCCAAAGAAAGAAAGAAAAAAAAAACAAGGAAAAGGTTTGAGTAAACAATATTTTTAAGCTCTTCTTGGCCAGCCACACATACCTATTTTGAATTTGTTTTCAGAAATCAACTTGTCTATAATCCCTGAACCTATAATTTAAACACATAACACACACTGATTTACATGCTTAGGGAAAAATGTTCTTACCGTCCTTTATCGAAGATGCTGTTTCAAGTGTTTTAAGGCTGTGGTCCACTTACGATTGAAAACTTTAGAAGTTCTTAAGAGGAAAGGTGGAAACCTTTCTTAGTTTTGCATTCACTTTTAAAATGGCTCTCTAAAGCAACCATGAATAATTACAGTGTAAAGAAAATCCTCTTGGGATGCCTGGTTTGGCTCAGTCGGTTAAGCATCTGCCTTTGGCTTGGGTCATGATCCCAGGGTTCTGGGATTGAGTCCTGCATCAGGATCCTTGCTCCGCGGGGAGCCTGCTTCTCCCTCTGCTTGTGCTCTCTCTGTCAAATAAATGTTTAAAAAGAGAAAAAAAATTCCTCTTACTTGCTCTTCCTTTAGAGAATTAAATCATATTATTTTGACTTCCCATGACAGGAGTATTGAAGGTTTAGTGGTCGTGGTGAGTTCGGTATCACATCACTCATCACTCATTCTTTGACATGGCCTGTGTGACCAGCCCTGTTCTTCTCTCAGTTTGCTCTCTGCAGAAGGGAGATAGATATCTTTAGCAAAGACTCTCAAAGCAATGTCCTCACCCTTATCATCGGTAAAAATAATACAGTTCTTCCAATTAAAAGCAAGATAACTACTGTTTATTCCTTATGACTTAATAGTCTTTGAAACCCTATATGGTAGATGACTGGTGAACTCAGTTAACTTCATTTTAAGAAAATAAACCAATCTGCAAAGACTACTTTGGAGTTATTATATAAAAACTCTTCCAAAGTCTGTCTTCAGTTTTAAAACTTTGAACATTTAAACTTAAGTAACTTGAGTATAGGTATAAAAGAGACAATTTTTCTGAAAATGAGAATGGAATTTTCTTTTCATGGCAACTATGAACTTCAGTTATGTTAGCCAAAGAACAGTGATTGCCTTATCTTGCAGAGTAAACCACTTTCTGCTCATCTGAAATAATATACTTTGTACAGTTATTGAGACACTGAACAACATGTAAGAAGCCAGGAGGTAATCCCCTTTGATAATGCCTTGCATATGAATCATCTCGTGCAGGGTTTCCACCCATATTAGAATTTTATGAATTGTAAAAGTAACATATACTCATTATGAAAAACAACCCTCAAAAGATATAGAAGTCTATAAAACAAAGTGGAGGCATCCCGTCCTCGCTCCAACCTTTTTCTTCTTGTGGCACATATACCACTATTTTTGCTGGCTGCCCATGAAGCCCTTGTGAACGAGCGCTGATGTTAATAACGTCCTTACTGAGAGACAGCCAAGTTGTTTCCAGTCCTGCCCCAGGATACACAGTGAATATCCTTCTATTTATATCCTTGCGCTCTTCTCTCTTATTCTATGAGACACATTTTGAAAGGCACAATCACTGGGTCAAAAGAATATATACATTTTAAGTATTGATAGTTTGACAACTTCAACCCAGTTTTGGCAAGAGTTGAACAGGAAACAAAAATACCACTTTTAAATAAAGTATGACAATGTATTTTAAGAGTTAAAAGAATTTGTACGTATATGTATTATATAATTTCATCTTTAATAAGTGCATTTCTAAGTGTTATTTAGGCTACACAGAAACTCTGAAGACTCTACATTTCTAGAAAATAAATCCTAATTATAAGAATTTACAGAGTAATTGTCAAGAAATTTTGAGGATGGTAATACCATAAAGGATGTACTGTCATACCTAAAAAGTGCTAAGGCAGTTTTAAGGTGCCTAGTTTAATTTTTAAGTTTTTTTCTTAAGTAACACATATTTTTGTTTTAGGAACTGGAACAATACAAAAGAAGTTCTTCCAAGTCTTGGAAACAAATTGAGTTTGATTCTTGAACCTAATTCAACTATAGTGTATTTATTTCTTCTTTCCCAAATACAAGTAAGTTTATTTTATTAATTAGCTATAATGGTAATAAGTGAAGGAAGCTAAGATGTGTAATTTGTTGAAGGAAAAGTGGCATTTGTTGTATTAGTGCAACTCTCTGGATACTTTTAAGTCTTTTAAAAGGGAAAAAAGTTGTGAGATTACATGCAGTATTTTTTAAAATAAAAAGAATACTCTACCTTTCTCTAATAAGTTTAACTAGTGTATACTCAGTTCAGCATTTATAAGTTTCTGCTTATATCATTTCAGGACTATGAAAGCAAGAGCCTCTAGTAACAGTTACCAGTGTGAGTTTAAGCATTTATATTAGACAAATTCCTTCTCGAAGGAGTTCTTGGGTGAGTCACTTTCACAGATACCATTATTGACTCTCAAACACAGGCACAAGCACCTGAAGAACCTATTTAAAGTGCACATTCCTGGGGCGCCTGGGTGGCTCAGTCCTTAAGCGTCTGCCTTCGGCTCAGGTCATGATCCCAGGCTCCTGGGATCGAGCCCCGCATCGGGCTCCCTGCTCGGCTGGAAGCCTGCTTCTCCCTCTCCCACTCCCCCTGCTTGTGTTCCCTCTCTTGCTGCCTCTGTCAAATAAAATCTTTGAAAAAATAAAACAAAATGCACATTCCTGAGTCCCCACAACCAGAGATCCTGAATCAGTGGGTCTGGCATGGGGTACAGTAATCTGCATTTTTAATCAGCATCTCTGATGATTCTGACATACTTATTTTGAGTATAACTTAAGATTTTATTTATTTGACAGAAACACAGTGAGAGAGGGAACACAAGCGGGGGGAGTGCGAGAGGGAGAAGCAGGCTTCCCGCGGAGCAGGGAGCCCGATGTGGGGCTCGATCCCAGGACCCTGTTATCATGACCTGAGGCAAAGGCAGACGCTTAACGACTGAGCCACCCAGGCGCCCCATTGAATATAACTTTTTTTTTTTAAAGATGTTATTTATCTGTGAGAGAGAGAGAGAGGGAAGGGTAGAGGGAGAAGTAGACTCCCCACTGAGCAGGGAGCCCTATGTGGGACTCGATCTCAGGACCCTGAGAGCGCAAACTGAGCCGAAGGCAGACGCTTAACACCTGAGCCACCCAGGCGCCCAGTATAACTTTTTGAAGAACATGTAAATTTAAGGATATATTCTATCAATAAGCAGGCCAAAACTTCATGAATTGGTAATATTGAAAGATCATTTCCAAGGGGAAATAGCTTTTAAGAAGCCTTCTCGATCCTATGAATTTGTGTACCTGCTAGCCAAGTTCAATCTGGAGTAAGCCTAATTGTTGTCATTGACCAAGAAAGTCATTTGTGTTCTTCCATTTCCATTACAAAATATGTTCACTCTAATAAACCATACACCCAGCTTCAAATAAGCACACTTACTAAACCCAAGAACACCAAAATTGATGAGTGGTATCTGAGTGGAAAGCAAACTACCTGATCACTGCAATGAAGTAATTAGACTTCATTAACTACTTGGGGCACCTGGGTGGCTCAGTCGTTAAGCGTCTGCCTTCGGCGCAGGTCATGATCTCAGGGTCCTGGGATCGAGCCCCGAAGCAGGCTCCCCGCAGAGAGCCTTCTCCCTCTCCCTCTGCTGCTCCCCCTACTTGTGCTCTATCTCTCTGTCAAATAAATAAAATCTTTAAAAAAAAAAAAGAATGTGGGATATAATTTCAGGGAAAAAAAAAGACTTCATAAACTACTTGCAGTCCATGTGATTCCAGCACTCTTGACAACAGGAGTTTCAGCATGTTTCCAAAGACCCTCAGTCTTAGGTGCAGACAGGCACCCTGCCCAAGTGCCATGGAGAAAGCGCTCCCTTTAAATTAATATTGAACGTTATAATCTCAGAAACATCCACTGACTGGGAAAGAAACAGCCTATTCCACAGTAGTAACAGAAATTTCTGTTATATAATTTGATTGTCTTACACATCACTGTCCATTTTTTGACTTGAGACAGACTGTCACATGTTGAAAGTCATTGTTTTTCCAAGATGGTATCACTAACATTTAATAGCTTGAAGTCACGTGCTGTGTCAATTTTCCAAATGTTTCCGAGCTAGAATGAAATTCATCTGCATATGAATAGTAGAAATGTTTCCACTTACAGTGCATACCCATATCTTTAGTAAGTTGAAATCAGCGATTTCAAAAGAGGTTCCTGTGGGACTCTCTTTGAACTGCTTTAATAGATTATCATCTGCAGAACTGTCTATAACTGATGTGACATATATAATCTGTAAGGCATTATGTAACTATTACACCATAATCATCAGTGTCAGAGACCTTTTATAAAAATTGACAATACTATTCTGGTAATTTGCCAATGTCTCCAGATCCTTAAATACAGTTCTAAGAAATAGAATTTTACTGTGGTTTCCTTAATGAAATGATCTTTTCTGCTATGAGACATTTCAAACGCTATAATTTATCATTCTTTACAAGTTGGGTCACAGCAACTGAACAAGTTCATGTACTAAGATGTTCTCCCTCAGAGTTACCATGGTAACATTGAGACAGGGTCTTTTCAGATTTGTACGTGAATTACCTGAATATCAGAAAGATAATCAGTCATTTAGTATAGAACCCATTTTTAATCATCTATATACATCATTTCATCCCTAAAAATATGTAATACAAGTATCTCTATATTTATCAGCATTCTTTCTCTTTACAATTCAAGAACCTGAATTTTGTGTGTGTAACCCGGTTCTTCTTAGTGTAAATACTGTGTCAGCTGAACAGCTTTTCTGTATGGACTTAAATAACCCCTCCTCTCTAGCCTTAAAGATGTCATTTCTCAGTGCATACACTTTATCTAGTAACATTCACTTTTGATTTTATAAGTAAACTAAGTGAAAAGTGGAAAAACAGCAAACTAATCTTTAAAGACATTACCTGAGGTCTGTCTGGTATGCTGTGATCTCAGTTCAGCCCATTCCCGCAGGTTTTCATTTTTATCTCCCAAAAAATCACCAGGTGCTCTGTATCAGGGGTCTTCATCATCCAGCATCTGTCCAACATCCTTTCAGTATGACTGGGTAACTCAGACCCTCATGTGGACATGTACACATAAATGTGGGTTTTTCAATGATAAAGCATTCCCACCCATCCCCCAATTTTGCAGGATGCTTTGCTTCACTCAAACCCACAACTCTTTTTTGTTACTTACAGTCAATAACCACTCAAATTTTCTTTTTAACAAATCTTTTATCAAATGTAAGCATAATTTTGTTTGTAAGCATAATTTAAAAAATTTTTTTTTTATATTTAAGTAGTCTCTACACCCAACGTGGGGCTCGAACTCACAACCCTGAGATCAAGAGTCGCATGCTCCACCAACAGAGCCAGCCAGGTGCCCTGTGAACATTTTTTAACTGACCTATTTTTCTGTGTCTAGAACAAAGAAAACAGTCACACTAGTCTCCCATGACTTTATGAATTACTACTATTTACATTTTTGGACCAGCTCACTCACAGTTTCCAAATAGCACATGTCCCTGCGAGTCGGAATATCATTCAAAGCCTGCATGGATCTGAGGGGCACAGATGGAGTTAAAAGACTTAAGATGTACTATCACGAAACACGTGGCTTTCTTATTTCAGACATTCAAAGTAGTCCTGCACCTCTAGGGCTTAAGGTCATTTTAGCAGCAGTGTTCTTTACTATCTGCTAATGAGATGATCCCTTATTTTAAAAACAACTATTCCTAGGATGACAAGAACTGGGATAAAGGCATACAAAGTCAGGAAGTTTGTTGTGAATCTGGATGTTGCACCCGGGCAGATTATCTCAATGAACTGAATTCCTTGAGTGAAGGCACACATTGGATTAGTTGTCACAGAACCATCTGAGCTACCTGCAGGGAAAAGATGGACAGTATCAGATATGATGCTTCCCAGGTACTTTCATCAAGTATTTACCAACTGCCCCCTGAGTACCCTTCATCATGAAAGATACAGGACATTTAAGAGACCCTGGAATTCATTTTTAGATGAAACAATAGTGAGTGTTCTGGGTCCTGGCTTCATTTGAAGATGGAAATGGGTTCGTTTCGGGGTGCCTCAATTGTTAAGCATCTGTCTTCAGCTCAGGTCATGATCCCCGGGTCCTGGGATGGAGCCCCACATCGGGCTCCCTGCTCAGCGGGAAGCCTGCTTCTCCCTCTCCCACTCCCCCTGCTTGTGTTCCTCTCTCGCTGTGTCTCTGTCAAATAAATAAAATCTTAAAAAAAAAAAATGGGTTTCCATTTGGGGTATAAACTCATTACCATAGTACTGATAAAAATCATGATCACTTATGATCATCTAGTACTGAATATCCTAAGGTTACTGCTATTACCACCTAAAAATATTTAGAACTACTAAATTCTGCCCTGTTCTTTAGTTGCCTTTGTGAAGTGGCTTGGAATTTTCATGGCCAGAAGGACCTTGTTATACTCCCACTGCCTCTCATGGGATTGGGGAACAGACTTTTGCCAAAAGTGGCTTTACTCAGCTATATACTACATACATTTTTAGGGAACAAGATGCCACTGCAGCCTGCTTCAACCTGTTCTGTTCAGTATGTACAGAAACTGATTCTAGGTGCCTGGGTGGCTCAGTCGGTTAAGCATCCGACTCTTGGTTTCAGCTCAGGTCTTGATCTCACGATCTTGGGGTTGAGCCCTGTGTACGGCTCTGCGCTCAGTCTGCTCTAGGTTCTCTCCTTCTGCCCACCCCCCACTCGCATGCAAGCATGCTCTCTCTCTCAAATAAATAAAATCTTACAAAAACAAAAAGAGGGGCGCCTGGGTGGCTCAGTCGTTAAGCGTCTGCCTTCGGCTCAGGTCATGGTCCCAGGGT